TCGCTTCCGGGCAATTAAAACGAACCCACCTCATGTAATTTTATACCCATCGGGGATTTGATTTTCATTAACGCAACGTGTTTTATATTTTTTATATTTTGTTTAAGATTATCAGTTTCAATTTCAGATTCATCGATAAATTGCGATTTTTTTTTATATAAAATAATACGTCTATGGTATCGGTTTAAAAAACATGTTTTAGGCAAACATTTGTTTTATCATTTATACGTGGCGATATGTGTAATTATTTTAATAATTTTACTCATGGCAAGCAATTTTTATATCTTTTGCAAATACAGTTTTTTTAATAAATGCATAAAATCTGCAGTGTAACCATCGAACTTCAAAGGTCTTTTGTAAGTTTGTGAATTTTTGCTGCAACAGTTGTGATATTAATTTCGTTCTCCAAACTTGTGAAATTTCGCGAAATTCTAATTTACTGCACTCTTCAGTCAACTATGAAAATAACTCTTCGAGTGTAATATTTTCGGCTCGGACGTTGACGCAGTTTGCCCACGATAAATTTCGATTTCCGGCCCCGTCGTAAACAGTCATATATACGAATATCGGAAGAACATCAGAACGATTTCAACTTTACTGCGCGGTAATTATTCTCGCTTGCGAAAACGCACTTGAATAGAGACGATCGTGCAATTCTCCCGCTGATCGACCTACTGGCCCGTTTCTCACTTTTCCCACGCCACTCCCTCCCCTCTTTTTCTTCCCTTTGGCACGAAACTCCGATGGAAATCACGTTTCTTGCCAGACAATTCGTCCGCTGTTACCGATGAAATTTATGGAGGTGGCCGCATCTACTCGTACCCATGTACGTATTTATTGTCTTACAACGAATCATAGTAACGCGTTCTCTGACCTCTTCACAATTGCGAGTAAGTGAAATTCACGTTACCGCATAAGTTTTGCAAGGTACAAGTAAAATACACCATTTCAATACAATGAAATTAAACGCAAATAATCAACTCGGTTCATACCAAGGAAAGAATTGATTCATTTCTAGAGTCCATTCATGAAGAGTAAAATGGACAGTTATCCAAGTTTAAGGTTCTTTAAAACTCTTAGGTCAGTTGACTGTAAATAAAATAAATTTTCCAGAATCTTAATCATTATACGTAAGAGATTTCTACGGCTTCCATATATTTATACGTTAAAACAAACCTTTTTTCCTTAAATATGTGTGAAAAAAAGGTATTGTGCCGTTTTTGAATATATAACCAATCAATTTTAATTTCATGGTATTCACCAGAAATTAGAATGTTAAAAGAATCTTATCCTTAAGTTAAATCATGGTTACTGTTAAAGTGAGCAACCCGGACTTGATGTATGATCGCAAAACGGTTATACGCAGTATGCAAGTGTATTATACGGAGGATGTTACACAGGTTCCTAATCCTGAGAAACTGACCCATAAATCCTTGCGCACGCCTGTCTGCGTTCTAGCACCCACTTGGGTTTACGGTACGATAATTGCCGTTCACTACGATTTCGCTAATGTGTCCCTTGTTGAAAGCCAATCTTTCGTCCACGTTGATATTTTATATATATAAATTTCGGCGTATCTCATATTTGAAAATATTGCTAGATTTTTATTTTAATATACATATAAAGTTCGTGAAACAGTTTCGCTTTGACCCTGTTAACTTTATGAAGATATTTCATTAGAAATAGTCACGAGATAATGAAGTAATTTTTCAAATGACTCTTTCTAAGGAAATAGTTCATAACTAAAAAAAACTACCCTCGAATGCACCGTATGTTAGAGTTTTTCACAACATTGAAATCTTTTTTCATAGGTACCTACCCTTGCTTTTTGAAAATTTGTTTTAGTTATTTATTTTTTGTCTTTTCAAAAACTGTGTCTAGCAATATGTCATATAAAAATCTGATCGTTAATTCTATGATCGATAGAATTTTTTTACACAAAATATTTAAACGTGATAAAAACTACTTTCCTCGACGAATTAATAAATAAAAGTGTGACGAGATAATGAGAAAGAGATGTGTTATATACAATGTATACTTATATGTATACAGATCGATTTTCTTCGGTGCAGGAGTCAAAGAAAAAGATGAGGAGAAATGATTCCTCAGCTTCTCTTGTATTTCCAGAGAAGTAACATCGTTGAAACTCTTTCTTCCAGCGATCGACCTAGTGCCCCGACCCATTTCTTTTACCCCCCCTGCACCTTGGCTGCTTTCTTGAATTCGCGAAGCATATTTGCCAGGACAGGAGGTGAATATCAATGATTTCTTACAAAAATCGATCGCACCTGACTTTCCTCTTAGTAAAATTCATCAAAGTTTTCTGGACCGCTCGTAGAATCGTTTCGTTTTGAATCTCGATTACTGCTGTCGTTAGATAGCTATAGCTCTTGCTATATATGCCATCTAACAGACTAATATTCTTTTTAATGTAAAGAGAGCAGTTATTTTCTTTACATATACAGTCTTTAAAACTTTTCGCTCTGCCTTGTTTCTAAGTTATCAAATGCACCTAACAATTGGATGAACCGACAGAATGGAATTAGGGTTGGCTATAACAGGAATAATTACTGGGCGTCAGCCGTGTAATCAGTCCGGTACCGTTTCGAAATTGATAATCTGGTCGCGCAAAGACGGATAACGTAGGTACAATTTGCGTTGGGTCGCGTGTCCACACGAGCGTAAATTACATCGAAACACGAGGCGAATAATAAATTTTGTCAGCTCCTTCTCGGTGGTACTCGGTATCTCGCGATATACGCGCGACTGGTCTGCTGGGAGCTGCCAACGGCCGCGCAGATATTCACATATCCGATGAAAAATGGTACCGTAGGGCAAAGAATAGCGTCGCGATCGGCTTCTTTTCTACGTGGCTGACGGTCGAACGATTGACCGTGATCGATTTATTCGTATGATAACGTAACTCGTATAAGTGAATCGATACAGATTTTTTATGTAAACGGATTTCCTGTGTAAGACTACAAAATTATCAACCTAAAAAAACCATACGTGCTCAGAAAAATACTTGACATGTAATAATATGCAATAGAATTGGGGGTAATTAATTTTGGTTGACTACGTTGAAAATCGTGCTTAGTTAATTACAATTTAATTCCCGCGTCAACGAACCAGAGCTAACAATAGAACGGGCAAAGGAAGAAGGGCACTTGAATCGCGTTCGCAATGATCGCGTCAAGTCGCGTCGTCATCATCCGCTTTAAAAACTGTCAAAACCATGAGATCAAAGGGTACAGTGAAGAAAGAATCGGGCCAACTTCCCTCGAGTCTCGTCTCTAGACCCGCTTTCGTTCGGAGGATTAAAAAAAAGGCGGGCTCGTTGATCCCGTTTCCGCGCAACCAGCTCGCAACGGGCTATTGCCAGTCGTATCGTATCAAGAGATCGATCGCGAGGCTTGTTTCGAGCGTGGCCGCGGCGTTAAAGAGCGGAATCGAGTCGGCCGGGCCGTGTGCCAAAGCGTTATCTCTTATTGCGCGGGTCCCGGGTCAAGCGATGCGATATCGTGAATCATCGCGAATGCTTCCCGTAATTCGTCCAATGATGAATTCCGGAAGCGCAATGGTGAGAGAAAGCGAGCGCAGATTTTCAACTGATTTTCAATATGCTAATTCATCGAGTAAGAAAACCTCTGGTGCTCTTTATAATCTCAGAAAAAATATTTATGTTCTCCTTTATACATCAAGATGATTAAAATGTAAGAAGAAATTAATCAATTACTTGCGAAACAGATTGATCTTTGTAAAGTAATTACATCGTGTACACACAATGAGCACAATAAATATTGGTACACATTTCAAAGTTGAACAACTTTTATAATATTGGATGTAACGAATTAATTTTTTGTTTAGGTGTTAGAGAGATTCATTTATTCTGTGATGTATAACAAAAAGTAAAAAAAACTTCACTGTATAAAAGTGCTTAAAAAATTCGCCACGATGATTGCTCCAGGATGTATACATGTACATGTACCGAGTGAAATACATTTCTCTAGCAAATATTATTTCATAAAGATTGACGTTGAGCATACACTTCAGCTTGTTTTTTAAAATAAACTACCTCGCTGTACCATTGATAGCAAAAAATATGTACAAAAAGAGGACGAGAGCGTTACCAATTTCTTCTACAACTTTTTCAAGAAGCGCACAAACAAATTTAAATGAAACGAAAACTGTCGAACCGGGTGTCGTGCGCACTCGAAGCTTCGATTGAATTTTTTAAGGCAATAGCAAAAAAAAATATTATACGATGAAATACTCGTATGATGAAAAAGGGTGGAAGAGAGGATGCTTTTGGCGTCCGGTTTCATCAAATCGAACCGTATAATCTTGTTGCAGCGGCACGAAATCTTATAAAATAGACGTCTCACGCTATCCTATCTTTCTATCTTTTCCTCTCTTTTATTTCGTTATTAAATCAGAGCTGATCGGAATCACACGGTTCGTCGAGTGCGTTTAACACCGCGGCGAACAACAGCATTAAGAGACCTATTAGGTGGTTCGTAGTTACGACACCAGATATTCTCGTGGATTTGGCACCGAATCTCCTTACCATAATCGGACTCCGGGAGCTCTACGTGGCCAATTTGACCTGATAAACCAGTCAGCCAACGAACGCTCTAGTGTCAAACTTTAGGGGATTTACGAATTGGATCTATTACCTGGAAAGGCAAACTGCTACTCTCTCTTCGCTTTTATTCTTTTTTTTTTAAACCGAAGTACACTACCATTCATAAATGAATGGGGGAATATTATTTTATGCGAATATGAATTATAAATATAAATATACTTATTTTAATTTTGCGGTGTTTAGTATCTTTGCTAATTTATGCTGTGATGATTGATCATGCGGATTTGTCACTATGCTACATTTTGATTAAGATGTAGAGTAATATTAACGGTACTATTCGTACGAATCAATATTTTGTCAGACACAAATATTATATAATACTAATCAACTGAGTAGAAGTAATTAGTGTACTCACATCACCCTTCTCTGGAACGTATTTCGCCAACCATCCCCACAGGATACCAAATCCGAGGCCACCGACTATTGCAATAGGACCCTGGAGGATTTGGTACCAGAGTGCATCGTGTGAAAACATAATGCTCTTTATAATCCCATGAATGGCTACTGATGCTGCGTCATCGATTCCAGAAACAGCGATTATTAAAGTTGGAATACCCTGAAAAAGTAATGTAAACATCAATTGAACATGTAATTAAAATGTATGAAAAATTGAAATAGATATCCTATGTACAAATCAGATTATAAAATATAATTAAAAACGTTGATTTTTTATTTTACTTTCATTGTCGAGTAACCGTGTCTATAATAAATAAAGACTACTTTTCTCTTATTTATCTATGTATATTGCTATTAGTTAAGGTCGAAATTATATTTGGCCGAAAGAAATATGAAGTATTCCGAAGGATAGTGGAAACTTATCGAGTTTAAATATTGAATTCGAACGTCTTTGCGACACAAATCGACGGCTTTCACAACCTGCCGTTACCACTCACAGCGTTTCTTATTTTTCAACGGCGCCGCTGTAACATCCTTGATTCGTGGAAACCTCATTATCGGCCGCAATCAGATTTCATCGCGGTAACTTCGAAAACCATTAAGGAATTCTAAGCTAGGAGCGCGAGCGGTTCGAGGTCAGTGAAAATAATCCGCTGTCAGATAGAAAGTGAGAAAGAGTTCAAGGAAAAATGAAGCGAGGAGAGTTGAAGGGAAGAAGAGTCTAACGAGACTGCGAGCCCGATGATTCCCTCGGAAAGCTATCTGCCCGCAACAGCTGAATCTCATCAATTCTACGGTGCCTCTTTGCGAAATTGTATTGTATCATTTATGTTGAATTACTAAGTAGACAATACATATTCTTAATATTATTAGTTCAAAGTTGAAGAGATGATATAACGAAGGAATGGAATCTTCATAACAAGATAAAAAAATTATCAACCATCACTTAACGAATGTGGAATAAAAAAAGAGTTTTATCTCCACGTGGTTTTGAAAGGAATGTTGAAAACTAACCAGACAACCAGTACAGAGATTGAATTTTATAACCGCCTTCGTTGGCCGGACGTCCGTTTACAGTGCAATGACAAGTGTACATCCGGCGGACTGGCTGCGCGAATGCAACGGTGCACCTCTACTTAAAATGATAATGTCAGAAATAGCAGCGGGAATGGACGGAAGGGTGAGCACGCGCTGAGCGAGACGGAGCGAAGAACCACGGAGGGGAAGGAGCTTAAATAATTCAGTTTAGAAAATGGAGTAGAAGCTGTTTGAAGAGTGCAGAGGCCATTCCCACGGATGTGATATTCATGAGCTGAAAAGATCTAGATGGGAGCTTTTTGTTTATTTCTTGGCCTGCGGTAGGAACCGTACCCCGGGAAGAAATTGAACGCTTTGTCAGGAGTGTACGCGGGTAATTCGCATTTTCCGCGAGATCAAAGACGTTTTTCGGTATGGTCGCCGTTATGTTTCCATGTCGAAACGAGAGACGGAAGTTCATCAATCCCTTTCTCGATTTCCTTTATTTATTTTTTACTAGTTTCATATTCTTTTTAAACAAATGTGTTGGTCTAAGGAAAACGCGAGGAAAATCTTTCTTCGCTTCAGCTAAATCAGGCAGATTTTACCATTATAGAAATTGAGAATTATGAAAATTACGAAAAATTTTATTTCTGAAGAAAAAAGAAGTTTAGAATGAAACTCTGTTCGCTGGGTCAATGGTCTTGTTTTACACAGGCAGCAGTAATATTTTGAAAAACACGTAAGACGCTTGTAACATGAACATTAAATACGTTTTTATTTTTCGTCAACCTCGTTATTCCTTAATGCACCCTTGTACTTAATAAGGCAAGAGTATGTAGTTATGTAGCGTGGATCGTGCTTTGATGAAATGTCCTTAATGAAGTTTCACGACAGCGAGAGTATATGCATTCCACCTCGTAGATTGTTAATACACCTAAGTAATTGGATTGAAAAAAAATGAATGTAACTAGTAATATACGTAAATGCAGTCGTAATTTATAATTCACGAAACGTCAAAAATTAATTTCTCAAAAGCAACAGAATGAATGTTTGAAAGTTTCTCGCTTCAAGGATTCTCTAATAGTAATCGAGATCAGTCCGATTATCAGTGGCGATGAACCAATGTTAGACGAAAATCAAATTGCAGTTTGAGTGCTGGGACAAGTAGTCACGGATCGTTATGGTCAGACGCCTGCGGTATTAAATTAGCCATTCATGGAAATTTTCTCGTGCAACGCCAAGATTTGATGAATACGCCGATTTGTCAATAAGAACTGTTACTGACAGGCTATTCTAAAGGCGAGGATACGCCTTGCGAAGAAAGACTGCTGCCTGAATATCGATTATTCGGCCATTGACAGACGATATTTTCGACAGCCTTTATATGAGACACCGTTCCAAGTTTCAAGGATGCACGAATGCGCGTCAGGGATTGATTTTCGATTGATTCGAGCCTGTCTCTCTCCGATTTCTTTCTTTTCAATATAGATAAATAGACGAAAGTGACTTTCCGATAAAAGTAAGGAAAATTTTGTAAACTCAGAAATTCACTACGTATTTTAATTAATATTCTTGTCCTAATAATTTTATTGAACTTAATCCCGTTTTTTTCTTCCGACTAATTGCTGTAACCGTGTAGCTACCAGCTAAGCACAACGTATACAGTAAAGTTGCTCGATAAAGATCTGGTTAAATCCAGCCACTACTCTAATCTCTAGCAATTACGAAACGTTGTTCAACCAGTAATCCTATCTAATTCGAGGAAAATAGAGATTCCTTTGAATTTAAGATAGCATTATCGTCTAAAACTATTAGTGAAACTATACTGAAATTTTTTTACTTTTCTAATCTAATTAATCTTCTGAAGACAAACTAAAGACAGTTCTTTTTAGATATTTCTCAGTCGAAGTTGTACAGTGTCTTAGATTTTCAAAACACTTCCAGAGATTCTAATATACTCAGTCAGATGTTTAAAGAGTATTTTGGTACATACATTAGAATTCATTTAAGTCATTAAAAATGTAGAATTATTTTCGATAAAAAATAATCAACTGAACCTATTCCACTGCGAGTTTACATGAATTTATGGCTAATTTGGCGACCACCTCCAGCTTCTCATGACCCATTCCCTAGCCGTCGTTCTCTTGGATCGAACAAGCTGGACGTCGTCCACAGAGATTTCACTGAATCCATTGACCACCGTAACGTGCCACAATTACGGAGTTCTGTTTAATCCAGTGTCCCATTTAATTCGACGGTTGTACTGATCGCCTTTTCGTCGAATTTATTGTCATCGGTTCTCGGAGAATGCTTCCAGTCTTGGGAAGATTCTCCGGATTTTCGTGTTCTAACCGATTCAACCACGCGACCAAACCGCAATACCAGTTCCTCTTGTTTCGATCGCCCGACCGGAATAAAGCTGGCCATTCATCGATTGTCCAACTGCGTTTACTTTACGGTTTTACGATTTGGCAAACAAGACCAAAAACGTCGCACTTTTACAAGTAAATAAAGAAGTAAAGTCTACATAAATGTTACCGCGATATTAAAAAGTCAGTCTGAAAGTACGATAACATAAATCAACAAAACATTGTAATAGTCTTGATAATTATATGGCAAACTAGATCGGTCACATTATATTTTTCAAAAATGTAAATCTCTCGCAATCAATAAATGCTTTAGTAAAACAACGTTAATTCATAAAAAAGTGTCTGGTCTTATTAACCAACAATGAATAGGCTGTCATTTTGAGAAAGCTTCCAGAAATTTTTCTAGTTGCGTACAATTGCATCTGCGAAATTGCTGCACCGTAACCGGTGTACAAAAGAAATTTAATTAACGTCGACATGCATTCGGAAAGTTCGTCGTGCGACTCGGCGTCGCGTCGTCGCAACGCGTCAGGATGTCATCGCATTTTCGTTTGAACAGACGACGAACTTCACGGCATTACTTATGAATGCGTCACCCAGAGGTAGCAAAGGGATCGCCGTTTTAGTAACGCGACGACGCTCCTAATTCGACACGTGAAATTCCGCGACGCGGAACTTTCGAACCGTGGTGCACCCCGAAGAATTCGAAACAGCTGCAAACGATTCGCCGAACGTTGTCTACAAATAGTTTTCAGAGTTTCCACTGTAAATTATACTGGGTCTGAGTCAATAATTAGCAAGTATCAAGTTTGAAATTCGATAGAATTTGATTGTGAGATAAATTTCAGCTTTTTTACTTGCATTCCTACGTTACACAAACTAATTGCGGTTTCTGAAGCACTTACTATTATAC